GATCTTATGGTTATCACAAATATGACTTGTAATGCAACCTTGGACACTTAACTTCATAAATTTGAAACTCCTTGCTCAAGTATGATAAATTTATGCTCCTGGACTTTTTGGAAAGCTTAAAACATCACCTACAACTTTCATATTGAACACGTTTCTTGAATAAATTTGGATCTTGGTGAAAAATTCCTTACAACTATGTTGCTTTTGGCTGAAACAAGCACTTCAGAATTTTTTTAAGTGTTTGAGATTTTGACAATTTTGAGATGTTAACTTCATTAATTCATATCTTTAAACATATGCATTTTTTGGAGATCATCCCTCGTCGACAAAGTTTTAGTATGGATCATGCTCTACCGTTTTCATGTAGAAAGTTTTCCTTGAATCAGCTTGGATCTTTGTGAAACTTGTCCATGAAGTTAAGGCTTTTTAAGTACAAAAACACTTGAATTTTTCTAAGTGTTCAAAAATCTTCAACCTTTATATTTTGTTGACTTTTCTTGTTTCTCTTGATTCTTGATGATCAAGTTTGATAATTTTTAATGCTTTGATGATCCTTGATCTTTGAAGTTTAATATTGACGAAAAAGTCCAAGTTTCACTTTTGTGTGACAGTTGACTTTTCATCAGTTAATTCCAATTCTTCCACTATCAATCAATTGTATCTTTGGAAATGTCTTGAGCCCTACAATTAGGTCAAGATGTTGAATTTGAGTTCTTTGAATCAATCTTCAAGAAATTAGGTCATTCACTAGTCCCAGAGTCGATAATCCACTTTCTTCAATCAAAACCCTAATTTGGTCAAGACTTATATTGATGAAAATTTCTTGCTTCAAAATCCTGCTTGACACAAGGAGCAAACACACAAGCTATTTTTTATTTTGTTAGAGATGAAATAATGCATATGAGGAGGTATCTTAGGTCAAAAATTATGGTACAACATATAGCCCGTGCATTCTTCACTAAAACACCCTCATTTTGACATAAATTGATTCAGAGATGCATCTTCATATTCCCACTAGACAGAATCTGAAGATGCATCTCTGTATTCACACCAGAAAGTAATTTTTTACTTTGTTTTAGAGATACATTGATTTAATTGACGGGGCATTATATCTATACTTTCATATTCAATTATATATAAATTAAATCACACACTAATCAAATAATATGAAAATTACATATATAAATGAATAAATCTAGAATACACAGTGAAGTCAAATAAAGTACAAATGATAATATTGCTCCTAATACAAATATTATATACTACTGCGTATTCCAGACTCGGAACTCGTGTTCCTACGCTGACTCTTGTATTATAGTCTCGTATGTGCCTCTTCCATGATGGCATTTAAAATGTCCCTCACCTTAGAGACATTAGGAAATATTCCTCTATTTATACCTGCCTTCACAAGCTCCGTGATACAACGACATCTAGGAACACATCAACATCATGATCTTCCCTAACATGTTCTTCCTCTAGTATTTCCTAATGAGTTGGCCTAGATAGATCTCCTAGAGCATCTGATGTCATATAATGATGTAACACTCTAAAATACCACTGAATGTAGTTGTATGCAACACTTAAGTCGCTAGGAGTAAGGATGCCATGTGTCGCATCTGGTACAAGATGATTAAGATAATCATCATACATAACACTAACATATTTGTGTGTCATAGCTGTAACACCCATGTCGGTAGGAGTTAGGGTACCATATGCTGCATATGATACCAGATGATTAAGGTAATCATCATACATGGCATTGGCATCATATATACCAGATAATTGATCATGCACAAGTCTCGCAGCCCATATAGATGCATCACATACTGAAACCATTGTTCAATGGGCCGTGGCATATGCTAATTTTTTGCCCATGATTGATGCATTTTAAAGCATCAAAGTCCTGTAGAAAAATAAATCATTATCATAAATGTGTTTCAAAGAATGAATACAATTGAATTTTATCTCTATGTTCCACACATGTCTGTCAGCATGGTCCGAATATGGAAACAATATTCCTAAGTCATACAAGCCTCTTTCAAACCCTTGGGTGCCTTGGGTGACTCAACATGTACCGGTGGGGCTTATGGGGCATCATGAGGAGACACATGCCTTCTATGGGAAGACGAAGGAGGAGATGCATGAGCCCCATAAGTTGACGCCTTTATATCAACCGAAATAAAACTGACTTGTTCCTATAATGATCGAGCTTTCTCCCTCTAAACCGATGCATGTGGCGTAACTCTGTCGTGCCTAAATCTATATTGGTTATCATCCATTATGTGTGTGTGTGTGTGTGTGTGTGTGTGTGTGTGTGTGTGTGTGTGTGTGTGTGTGTGTGTGTGTGTGTGTGTGTGTGTGTGTGTGTGTGTGTGTGTGTGTGTGTGAAACACCATGACATAAAGCCAAATAATGCAGACAGACAGAATCCAGAAATGCATCTCTAAATTCTGGAAAAATGTTGAAAAAAATCTGGAGATACATCTTCGTAATATTTACAACCCATAGATGACGAAAATGGCAGCAACGTAGTCCAATGCAACATCCAAAAAAATGCATTGGTCATTTATACTATCTATCAAACACATTACACAATCTAATGTTCAATTTTACAAATGTATATTGAAAGCAAAAAAAATAGAGAAATCAAAAACTTATCAAATGTGAATTTGATATTAAGCTCTTTGATTGATTAGATGTTGATGGTAAAAACTTGAAAGTGTGTTGAATGAGATTGAGAGTTTACAATATGAGAAAGTTTGAAAGGTGAGAGATTTTAAGAATTTTTAGAAGTGAGGAAGGAGAAAAGACTATAATGCATATTTGATTAAAATAGTGTTCGGAGATGTTTTTTTGTAAATTATACGGAGATGTTTCTCTGTAATTTTTTTTATATAACCTTAAGGGTTGGCTAAAAAACGAATAAGATATGTCCGAAAATATATTTCTAAATTCTATAAATAATTCTTTAAAGTTATCCTATTATTTAAAGATGACATTTAACATGAGTAAGTGGTTTTTTTGTCAATCACGGAGAAGTGAAGTTTCTAATCACTAGTATATTAATATTTAATTTAAATGGCAGTGATGAATGACCGACCGGTCACCTATTAATAATTTATTATCATATTTTAATTCCTAATTATTTAATATTTATATTAAATAATATATTTTTAATTAATTTGAATAATTAATTTTTATTCTTCATCTTTTATTTCAACCATTTATCTTCTTCATCTTTTATCCCGATTTCAAAAATTTAAAAGAACAAGAAAAAATTTCTGATTAAAAAAAAAACTTAAATTTAATAAGTCAAACTCAATACTTTTTAAAAAAAATTCAATAAAATTATTCATCTTCATCCATTAGAAAATACAATAAACATCCAGGTCTATTAACATTAATCTTTCTTTTTCTTTTCCTAAAGAAGAATAGCTTTTTGAACATACTTAAAAATCTATCAAACAATTTTCGGTGGTGAAAAAATCTCGAAACAATTTTTCAGTAGTGAAAAAATCTGAAAAAAAAAAAGCTTTTATTGTTCAAGAATAGTATAAACGAATCTAGAAATAAAAAGAAAATCATGATAGAGACTAAAATTATTATTATTATTTTAATAGTTTGTAGTGGAGAAGATAATGATGATGAATAAGTGAAAAAATATTTTTTAAAAAAATCTATCAAACATATACCAAATCGTGAGTTATTTTTTTATAGCTTATTCTGCCTTCAAACATCAACAAATATTCTATGTGGGACTATTACTTTTGTTTCTCTATGTTTGTTCTTGTTGGATTGAAGAATGGAAGTCATGAAGTTAAAATTACAGCGGTATGTTGAAATTGAATTTCTTGATTTTATTAACATCACTTCCGAAGCTCTTTTGTATTTGGTTTTTAATCAATAAGTTTTAAAAATTGATTATAAAGACACTAGCATTGAATGGAGTGTAGTCTTGGTGGGAGAGAAATTGTTTCTGGTACATGATGATATCCCTTCATTCTAAAAGAGAAAAATAAAAGTGAGGATCTAAAGTACATCATTCATTGGCATTGCTACATGACTTTGCTCATGTTGTAGTTAGAATATCTCTCAAAGAAAATTATTCATACTTTTTGTTTTGTTTTTTTAAATCCCTTATTGTTTTATGTAGATTGATTGTACTTCACCTTCAACAAGCGTAGTTTTTTTTTTTCAAATTTTTTTTATTTTTTCTAAAGAATGTATCTTTCTCCTATAATCAGGATCAGCAAAATAATAATAATAATAATAATCAAATCGCACCATCTCTGGAATAAATGAATGTCTCTTTTTTTTTATAAATTGTCGGAATTATTCGTAATAAGATATTGGCTACAATGGTAAATGTCTTATCAATAAAATTTTCATTTATCCAAAATTTAGTCATAGGTAGCAATCTATTCTAAAATTCCATTTTTTATCACATGTTAAATAATTCCCCAAACAGAGGATTTGTACGATACAATATGAAATAACGTAAAAATAGACTTATTAATCAAATTATTTTATTCTACAGTAGGCCTTGAAGTAGGTTTTTTTTCAAAAAAAAAAATTCTTTCTATTTCTATTTTTTTTTTGTTTCAATTGATTGTGTGCGCCTATGTAAATGGGATATAAATGTCTCACTATTTACTCAGTTTAGGTGCATAATCATTATGTAGGAGAGAAATGGGATCCCTAATAGTCGGAGAAAAGAGATTCGTATGAGAAAACATAAGTAAACGAGCTTCTGCTTGAGCCTCCAAAGATAAAGGCACATGAGCAGTCATTTGATCCCCATCAAAGTCTGCATTGAATCTCTTACACATTAATGGATGTAAACAAATAACATGTCTTTCTACTAAATTTGGTTGAAATGTCTGTATGCCCAATTTATGCAAAGTAGGCGCTCTATCCAGCAATACTGGATGCCCCCGCATAACTTCTTGAAGTATCTTCCATACAATGGGTTCTTTTTCCCGAGTTTTACTTTTAGCAACTCATATGTTCGAAGCAAAATGGTTTCGAATTAAACCACGAATTAGAAACGTCTGAAATAGCTCTATTGCGATTTTGCGAGGCAGTCCACATCGATGTAATGAAAGTGATGGACCTACGACAATAAGAGAACGCCCCGAATAATCAACTCGTTTTCCAAGAAGAGTCTCTCGAAATCTTCTCTCTTTGCCCTCAATTATATTGGAAAACGGTTTGTAAACTTTATTATTACCATCCCTTATTGGTTGTCCGCAGATTCCATTATCAAGAAGTGTATCCACTGCTTCTTGTACCAATTTTTCTTGACACATTACTAATTCCTCAGGTGTAGATCTACTTGTTATTAATAGATCAATAAGAGTTTGTTCTGATAGATAACTCTTCTATAGACTTCATTAATATCCAAACTCATTAGTTTACCGCCATCTATTTAAATAATTGGTCTCAATCTGGGAGGAAGTATTGGTAAGAGACATAATTCCATCAATTCTAGTTCTATATTTGTTTAGATAAAATGCTTAGCTAATTCCATGCGTCGAACCAAAAAATTCTTTCTTCTTCCAACTTTTCGATCTTCCCATTCATTTTCATTGTCAGTGGACCCCTCTTCTCCTAATTCTGTCCATTCTAGCAACGAAGAATCCACAATCATTCTTAATTCCAGATTAACTAATTGTTCTCGTATAGCACCCGCTCCACTAGAAATTTCTCTATTTCAAAATGTCTTGAAACCTTGAGTAGCAAAAAAGAGTGGGATATTGTATTTCCAGGATTGGATTTCATATTCGAATGAACCCCGTAATCGTAAGAAAGATGGTTTTTTAACTACAGGCCTAGCAATAAAAAAATTTCGATAGGATCCAATAAGATGTATCTCCCCCTTTGAAAATCGGACATGAGGGTTTCCTCTCATCCGGCTAAAGTATTTACACACAATTAAAGAAAAGATAAAGAAAGGGGTTTCCGCTTTCAAATTTTTGAAAACCTCTAATCTAAAATATCAAATAAAAAAGGTTTACTCTTGACTCAAGTTATCAATAAAGACCAAGCAACATTTGTTTGATACATTCTTCGTTTTTTCTGAATTTTTTATGCAATTCGAAATTACGACAGAAATAAATTGTAAAATTCTTAAATAGTCTACCTCCCTTCGAACGAGGAATCCTCTAAAATGAAATTCTAAATAAAGAAATAATATCTTCAAACTCATAAGAGATTTCTTTGTCTATGTATCATACCATTTGATCTTTTAGGTCAAGACGTCACCTCCACGGGTATGTCACATTGTCTTAAAGCCTATATGTGATAGATAAACTTATGAAATCATTATATATTTTATTCTTTGACCATAATTTTAGTTCTTTTAAAATATAAAATAAATAAATACAAAAAGAGATGGAATAATGAATTCCACAAAAAAAATACTTTTTTTCACAAGGTACATACAATATAAATAGTTTTTTGTTACTGAATTGACCATAGACCAACTCCCTTATTGATTTGGGAGTATTCAATACACCCATGAATTCTGAGCTTCATGTTACTCATCCCAAGAGACATGCCAGATATAGGAAATTCCAATTTAATTTAATGAATGACAGTTTCTCATTATACCGCAGTATACTAGATCCTCTAATTCTTTAAGAGGTTTATCTAAAAGGCTCGCGATATAACTAGGAAGATGTTTCAAATACCACACATGGGTTACTGGACATGTTAGTTTTATATACCCCATTTGATATCTATGTATCCGAGAATCAACAAATTCTACTCCGCATTGTTCACAAAATTTAGGTTGGTCTTTTTTATCTCTGATTACTCGATAATTTCCACAAGCACAAATCCCACTTTTTATAGGCCTAAAAATTCTTTCACAAAAAAATCCATATTTTTCAAACTTATTGGTTTTACAATGAAGAGTATAGGGTTTTGTTACCTACCCAACTGTTTCTCTATTAGGTAGGATTTTTTTTGCCCAAACACTTATTTGTTCAGAGGAAACTGATCCAATTCGAAGGTGTTGATGTTTATATTGATCAATCATAAAATCAAATTTTCAATTCAGTCCAATTGAACTTCCTTCCTTTGAATCTGAAAGTCTTTCTCAGATACAAGGAAATGACTCAGTTCCAGAGCCAAAGATCGTAGTTCGCGAATGAGTAATCGAAAATATTTTGGAGCATCCACATGTTTCAGTATTGTCCCTCCAATAATTGTAGTTCCAAGTAATTCTTGACGAGCTTTAATATGAATATTTATAAGTAAGCATCTCTTGTAAAATATGAGTAACATTGAATCCCTCGAGGGCTCAAACTTCCATTTCACCTGCCTGTTGTCCTCCTTGTTTGGCCCTTCCTTTAAGGGGTTGATGTGTAACAAGTGCATAAGGTCCACTAGAACGTCCATGTATTTTATCATCAACTTGATGAATTAATTTCAAGATATAAGGCTTTCCTATTATAACGGGCTATTCAAAAGGATTCCCCGTTCTTCCATCAAATATTCTGCTCTTTCTCGGATACTCGAGTTCAAATATCCATGGATTCGATGTTTCTTTACTGGCCTCATATAATTCAAAAAACATAAGTTTTCTAGAAGCCTCTTGTTCATATCTCTCATCAAAAGGTGTTATTCGATAATGTCTATTTAGCATACTCCTAGCTAATCTGAGCGAACACTCTAATATATGTCCTACATTCATTCGAGTAGGGACCCCTAATGGATTGAAGACCATATCAACGGGTCTTCCATCTTGAAAATAAGGCATATCCTATCTAGACGAAATCTTTGAAACTGTACCTTTATTTCCATGTCTCCCGGTCACTTTATCACCTACTTTAATTTCACGCTTCTGTGAAATATATATCTGAATTATTTCTGGATTATAGCTAGAACCCGCTTTTTGTGGAGCCATATCACATTAATAACTGGGCCCTTACCACCTATAGGTAGTTTTAGACAAGTTTCCTTTGAGGTGGATACCTGAATCCCAAGTATAGCTCATAATAATTTATCTTTCAAGGCATACGAGGATTCTTTTGCCATTTGAAGTGTTAATTTACCCACTAAAATATTGTCTGTTTCTACCCAAGATCCCAGAATTACAATTCCATTTTTGTCTAGATTTCGGAGTAAATGGACTTCTAGATGTGGAATTTTATTAGTGATTCTTTTAGGACCATGGCTTGTCACATGAGTCTGAATTCCATATTTCTGTATGTGAAAAGAAGTATAAATATCTTTATAGACACTCACTAATGAGTATAACATCTTCTGAATTGTAACCTTCCCATGTCATATAAGCTACTAATACTTTTTTCCCAAAGCGAGTTCACCACCAACTGTAGAAGCACCATCTACTAAAAATCGTCCCATTTTTAAGCATTTACCCTTTTGAACCTGGGATTGTTTATGCATAAAAGTATTTTTGTTGAAACGTTGATATATAATTAATGGAATACTTATAGCATTCCCACTTCCAAATAAAATAATCTTCTCAATATCATTATAAATGATCTTTCCCTCGTGTTCGGCTATAGCGGGAACTCCCAAATCTAAGGCCACTTGGCGTTCCAATCCAATTCCAACAATGCACTTTTCGGACTGATAAAGAGAAACTGCTTGACGTTGCATATTAGAACTCATTAAAGCTCTATTCGCATCATTATGCTAGATAAAAGGAATGAGGGAAGCTCTAATAGAAAAATATTGTAAGGGAAAAATACTTCGAAGATGAATCTGTTCCTATGTAATAGTCAGAAATTCTTGACGGTATCGAGCTGAAACAATATGCTCCTCCTAAATACCTCGATTCTATTCTAAAAAATTTCTCTTAGCTACCATATAGTATTCATCTCTACTTGGTGATAAATAAAGCATTTGTATTCGTTTTGATCTCTCAGAAATTTCATAAAATGAACTTTCTATAGACCCCCAACGACCAATCCTTGTGTGAATTGCCAAGGACCCAATAAGTCTGAAATTGATTCCTTCAGAGGTGTCAATTGGACAAATACGTCCATAGTGACTAGGATGGATATCATGTATTCTAAAACTAGTAGTTCGCCCCCGTCAATCCTCCAGGACCCAAAGAACTTAATTTCCTTCCATGAACTATTTGGGTCAATAGATTGGTTCGATCTAAAACTTGAGATAATGGATGTAATCCAAAAAAAGATTCATAAGTGGTTATCAACGGTGGTGAAGTCACTAAATTTTAAGGAGTCGGTATAATTTATATCTAATTACTCCACATATAGTTCCTCTAATTATATTTTCTAAACGAATGAGAGCCAATCCTAATTGATCTTGTAAGAGATCTGCTACGGAACGAATACGTTTATTTTTCAAATGATTCATATTGTCAAGTGTACCCATTCCAAATTTCATTCCAATCAAATGATCTACAGCTGTCAATATATCTCACAGTAACAAAAATGTATTGTTCTCGGGTATAACAATATTCAGCTTTATGTTCATATTTTGCCGCCCAATTCCTCCTAATTCACATCTTTGTTGGAAAAAAATTATAATTCCGTACATAAAGATTCGGGAAATATGGGATCTCCGCCTACACACACAAATTGTTGATAAAAGTCCAAAATGGAATTTTCTTTTGAACCTATTTTTTTCATCCTTTTCATTGAAGAAAGAAAAAAAAATTAGGGGTAACAAACTTTCTCAAGAATTTCACTTAAATTCAAACCAATAACTACTGATAGAACTATAATAGATATTTTCTGCTTCCTACTTACACGAGCCCATATCCTTGCTTTTATATCAATCTCTAACTCTAATCTTCCTCCCCGATATGATATTATTGTGCCAGTATAGACTGAAATTCCATTATGGTCCAATTCTGACCGATAATAGATATCGGGGCTTTGCAATATTTGATTGATTATAATTCTGTATATTCCATTTACTATAAAAGTTCTTAGGAAATTCATTAGAGGAATGTTTCCAATAAAAATAATTTGTTCTTGGATATCCCAACTGTTTTTCCAAATTAATCCCACGGATATATATAATTCATAGAAATATGTAAGTGATTCATATACAACATCTTTTTATTTTATTGAGGGTTCTACCAATTGATATGTTTCCTCAAATAACTGAAATTCAATTTCTTGATCTATATCTTCAATTTTTTGAAACTTAAAAAGTTCTTTGTTAAGCCCCGATCAATGAATCTAAAAAACCCTTCAAATTGGATTTGATTCAATTGGGGTAGTGTAGACATTCCTTCATTCCCAACCCCAAGCAATTTTTTATTACCCTTTTTTGTTTTATAGAAAATATCCCATGATTTGTTGTCATTCTTCATCGAATCACATGAATAGATTTAGCAAAAATGGAATTTATGTTCTTTTTACTTTACTGAATCATATGAAATTTTTACCTCACTACGTCTATGAAATAACCATTATGAAAAGAGGAATTTTGCTACTCAAATTCTAATTTGCAACAAAATAAACAAATATAGTTTAACTTGTAATATCAATGGGAAAAAATTGATAAATTTCACCTAGACTTCGGGGAGGGGTATTTTTAACAATCTAAAAAAAAGGAATTCTATTTATACTATTAATTTAGTAGAGTATGATATTGTTGTACCCCAATCTTTACCCCTAAGATCCCTTCATCATATCATATCAATTCAATCACATCAAGATCACATTAGGGTTTGGTTCTTCTCACTGTCTTTAGCTTTTGCTCTAGGAGGAATCACCAAGCACCTTGACTTGTATTCTATTATCATCTATGTTTTGTATTGATTATCCTTTAACTAATAAATATAATGAGTGTTTTCCCCAATTGTAGATGTTGCAGGTAAAATCAAAATACATTCCATCAATATAATATCCATCAATATTATATCAAAAACTCATCAATAGTGATTTTTGTTGCAAAGGTTTCCCAAGGCATTTTCTTGCTCTAGGAGTTAGGGTTTTGAACTTCAAAGGGGTATATCTTGCTCATCTTTTGGTATTTTTGAATGATTCCAAATACATCCTTCTCTTCAAAGGATTATTAACAAATCACTTCAAAAGTTTCAAGGAAATTTTGTACGGAAGAAACTTGATGATGGAGAAAGATTACAAGTCCTCCAAATGAACCTTAAAATTCCCTTATGTGACTTCAAATGATCATAACTTGATCAATTTTATCACCTTGAACCCATTTTTCTCCATAATGATCTTGAAGATGTGAACTTCAACCTTTCTTTTATGTGAAAAGTGTGAAAATGGATGGAAGATGCCCTAAGGATGCAAAAGATTATAGGTCATTTCATGAATTTTTTCCAACTTCAACAAGTCATAACTCTCTCAATTTTTGGATATTTTGAATGGTTCAAGTTTCAAAATTTCATTCAAGAGATCTATTTCATGCCATGTTTTTTGGTTAAGAGCAAATATCAAGTGGAAATCCATGTTTGGATGCAAGACATTACAAGTCATTTTTGAAGAAAAACTTAGAAATTTTCTAAGTATAGAAAGTCAACCTCTTTTTCTCAACTTTGACTCATTGCAACTTTTAGCTCGAGCATCCATTTGATCCCACTCTTTGCACATTGTAAAGTTTGTCATCTCATCTTTCCAATGCAACAAGAATTAAGTCTTGAGATATCCTGAATCATGCACACCATTGATTTAAATTTGGTAACTTGAAACTAAAGTTTCACCACAAGTCAGAATTTGAAATTCATGTTGTAGCTTTTAAACATCAAATTAGCACGCGTTTTTGGTCTAAACATGTTTAACCAACTTGCCAAAGTGGATTAGAGCCTTAAAACGCAAGGATTGGACGAGCTTTGATGCTAAACAGATCACAATGTGCTCGTGTATTAGGTTCACATGATTTCTCTCCAAACTTCATCATTTCACACGCTTGAGCATCCCATTTGATTCCCTGTAAATAACGGGTCATCCCTTATTCATTTCCTCAAGCTTGAAAAGTCAGAATCACCCTGTCAAACTCTCTCTTGAACTCAATTTTCTGTAAATTTGAATTTGTTCTTACAGCTTTTCTCAATCATTTTTC